TGGCTTACTTCACTTAATATAATTTTTTCCAAGTCTTTCCATTTCCTAACAAATGGGGCAATGTCATTCTTTCTGATAGAGGCATAGAATTCCATTGTATATATATTTTTTTTTTCTTTTTGCGTGACTTAATTTGAAGTTCTGCTCATCCCCAGATATATACCCGTCGTCGATTATTAGACCTTATTCTTCATTGTGTACATACTTAATTCAGAAATTTATTATGCAGGGGCTGGGAAGGTGGCTCAGTGGTAGAGTGCTTGCCTTGCATGCCTGAGGCCCTGGGTTAGATTCCTCAGCACCACATAAGTAAAAAGAAAAAAGCCAGAAGTGGCACCGTGGCTCAAGTGGTAGAGCACTAGCCTTGAGCTGAAGAGCTGAGGGACAGCGCCCAGACCCAGAGTTCAGGCCCCACAACTAGACCCAAAAAAAAAAAAAAGAAAAAAGAAATTTATTACTCGATTCACAACCTCTTAGGCTTAACTTCTTTAATAGTAGTATTATTTCTTTATATATATATAATTTTTAAGTATTCCATTTTTAATTTTTTTTATTTTTCAGTTTTTCTTATCACGCTCCTCCTCTCATCCTATCCTTTTCTTCTCTCAATATCATTTCTTTTTTAGTTATTTATTTAATTAATGAATTTATTTATTTATTTTTGCTGGTCATGGGGCCTGAACTCTGACCCTGGGCACTGTCCCTCAACTCTTCAGCTCAAGGCTAGCACTCTACCACTTAAGCCACAGCACCACTTCCGGCTTTTTCTGCTTATGTGGTGGTGAGGAATTGAACCCAGGGCCTCATGCATGCGAGCCAAGCACTCTGCCACTGAGCCACCTTCCCAGCCCTGTTTTGTAATTTTTTTTATATTTTATTATGAAATTACTGTACAGAGGGGTTACAATTACATGGGCTAGATAATGAGTACATTTCTTATCAAGCATTGTAGCCTCCTCCTTTGTTTCCCTTCCCATTCCTTCCCAGCCTCCCCCTGCACCCCCCACCCAAACCTCCCGCACCCCACCAAAGTTGTAAAGTTCTTTTCAACATGACAACTTGTACTTCTCATTGTTGCAACGGGTCCACCTGTATCCTTATTTAAATGACTTGTTTTTCCCCTTCCCCTCCACAAGTTATACCAACATCAAATACAGTGAAAGCAGGGGTTATACTGTGGGGGAGGGACATACAAAGCAACAAAGAAATCATCTTATAAATGCCTTAGAAACAAATGCATGCTTGAAAGAAAAAAAAACATTTAAATACATATCTTAGAGTTCATTTTCCTAACATCACCTTATCTGACATTTTCTGCTTGACTCATACATATACTAGATATTGCAAATAA